GAAAGACAGACCTGTAAACAATCACAACTGCGTGATTGGTGCCCTCTGACCTATTATTTCCAGAAGTTCTGTGCCCAAGGATGGACTTTGGAATGCCGGTGTATCCCCCTTCCATTCACTGTTTTGTATTTTACATACTGTGCCCATCCCCCAAGGTTTCGGCCATGTATCTTAGTAACTATGCCTGTATTAGTTATTCTAATGCTGTGTAGCAAATCACCGCAGCTCTAGCAGTTTAAAATAATGTACATGTATTATCTTAGAGTTTCTTTGGGTTCAGGCTTCCAGGCACAGCTTAGCTGGATGCTTCGTTCAACAGTCTCGTGAGGGTACAATCAAGGTGTTGGCTGGTCTCCATTCTCACCTGGAGCTCAGGGTCCTCTTCCAAGTTCATTGCCGTTGGCAGAATTCACCTTCCTGTGGTTGTAGGGCGGAGGCCTCAGCTTCCAGAAGCCGCTCCTCTTCACAGGCAGCTCGCAATGTGGCTACTGCCCCCTCGGGGCCAGGAGGACAGCGCCTCTCTTTGGGATGTGCTCAGTCTCTCTTTTAAGAGTTTTTATCTGATTTAGGTCAAGCCTACCCATAATCATCTTCCTTTTGATTAACTCAAAATCAACTGATTTTGGACCTTAATTATATCTACAAAATCTCTTTAGCTTTGTCTCATGATGTAACCTAGTCAAGGAGGGCAACCTAGTCAAGGAGGGGTGCAGCCCTCACTCAAGGGGAGGGGAGTATGTAGGGCATGACCATGGGGGTGGGAACCTAGAATTCTGCCCATCCCAGCCGGTGCTGTTACCTGTACCCACCTTCTTCCCACAAGGTTCCCATCTTCCTATCTTCTAACCTTGGTCGCTGGGACTGTGCTGGCTGTGAAACTTTCACTAGCATCCTTAGGCCTCAAGTCAGCATCCTTGTGTGGGCAAATATGGGATTATGGGCTAGGGAAGGTCGCCAGAGGTCACATCAAGAGTTTCATTCATACATACATGCCATCTTAGAGAGTGTTTTCAGAAAACCTAGAGAGAGAAGGTAACATAACTTCCTTGGAAAATTCAACATTGTGTCTTAGGAGATTTCCAGAAAATTCTAACATCAGTCTAAATGGTTCTCATTTATTCTAGGAATATTTATTGGGCAACTACAAAGGGCCAGATACTGGGGATAATAAATAAGGTAGAGTTGCTCTGTAATTAAGCCATTTCCTATAGAGCTGTTCTCAAGTCTTCAGCCTTTATTGAGAGATGATCCACAAATGATGTTCACGTGAGGACCGCAATTCCAGGGATGTTTGGGCTAAGGTAAAATTCTTAGAATCTTAACTCTAACACATATAGACTCTCTCTCCTCCTTCCTCTCTCTCTCTCTCTCTCTCTCTCT